CAGTTTTCAAAAATAGGCATAACAATCTGAAAGTAGTACATAGTGTAGTCCGCCACCATCGAGAATTTGTTTTACTGGCAGGGTATGGCTACAAGACAATATGGCGTCGAAAGTGTCATTCAGTCAAATACGGTAAAATGCCACTTTTAACTGCTCATAACTTCTGAACTAATGGATTCCTCGCCTTAAAACTAGCATTTCCGGATTTTTCTCGATAAAATCTACAGGATTATGTTAAAGAAACTTACAACTTTTAGGTCCGCCAAAATAAAGTGCAGCCTATCATAGTTGTTATATGTTGGAGGGTAAATCACGACTACACCGTAATATAATTCACTGAATAAAGTATAAACAACGATATGTATTTCAATATTACACGTTTACTACAGTATGAAAAACAAAAGAGGGACACTAAAAAGGTGTGAGTGTGCCGAGTAGACGGCAGCACTGGACGACGGTCCGGTCAGAGTCATTTGTGGTTGGAAATATCCTCAATATTATATTTTCATTTTAATATTTTTAAGTACAAATAATATTTTGAATAATAATTTTGTGAATGAAAATACTTGTGGGAACAAAATTTTACTTTCACTCAAAAGACACTTTAATATATCATAATTCTTATACTTTTATTTTAATGCTTCTAAGTAGAAATAATATATCATTCAAATAGATACGTTTTCGGTGTTATTATATAATCAGCATAATTTTCGATAAACTTAATCAAAATGTAAAAGTATCATTTTAATTTGTATTAGTTGACTCTGTTATTTCTTATAATAATAAAATTTCAATGACATTTTCATTCGTATATCTTTCATAAATTTTACAACATTTTTTAAAAAATCAGCATATCGAACCGGTTATAAACCAGAACACCGGTTAAATGAAAATATGTTTTAAAAAAGTTCCGATTGTTTGAATTGTATTCTAATGTGTTCCACGAACATTTTTCGTTACCTAATAGAATGAAGTTTTGTTTCCTTCAGTTATGAATGGCGCTCATGCAAGGCAAAGTCAAAAAGTCGAAAATGTAGACATACCTTTTTATGTAATATACTTTCATATTTCCCGACAAGCTCGATGTATTTTTAGAGCGAAACCTTGAACGTGAAAGTTCACGCGTTATTCATGCCGGAAGATAGGAAGCAAAAAACAACTTTATCGTTATTCTCGTTCCCCTCGGTAGATAATCAGAAACGGCCATGGAACAAACGAACTAGTCAGTATCGCGAATGTTTTGCATCGGTTTACATCCGTTTAACAGTGCCACGCGCACGTTCCGACAAAGGGTTAATTGCTAACCAGAAACTACGCCAAACTCACTTTTCACAGAACTGAAATGCCTTTAATGGAAACAAACGGGGATTGTTTATCTAACTTCGACACGAAACGCAATTTTAATTACATTCAGTGTTAATCAGCGTTTTAATTAACGCCAAAGTCCTCTTCTTTGATATCCAAAAGAAATTGAGAAAATTAATCAAAATAACGACCGAATTTCCACGAAATGAAATCTGAGTTAATAGGTCTGTTTGAGGCTATAATGGTGAAGCACTTGAGAAATCCTTTAGGGCGATTTCTGACTCATCTCGCGAAGAGCTGAAGCATACTTGTCAAATAGCTCCTGGGTGAAAACTGAGAAAATTTTGTCGATTCGTTTCTGGCCAAAACTGAAGACTTATCGAATCAACTCTGCACCAAAACTGGAAGAGAATGGTCAATTTATTATTGAATTATAACTGAAACGAAATTGTCAAATCGGTCAAGAACCAGAGCTAAATGAAATTAATGAAATTGTTCCTGAATTAAGGCTAAAAAAGATTTATCGAATCGACTCTTCATTAAGGAATTAAAAAAATTAATTTCGAAGGTGAGCCGATAGTGAAAATAAATCTCGATAGGATTCGTGAACTTGGTGATGTTACGAAAATTAAATACTAGGACAAGTGATAAAGTTCTTCTAATCTTCGATAGTCTCGAGACAACATTTTAACTTTGTAGACATTTTCACGAATTTGGCAGTCCATGTGTTAAAGATGACTTTGTAAAATCATTCCCATGTAAAAATTGAAGGATACCGATCGAATCGCCCTTGAAACAAGCCTGGAATCTTGTCAACTCGATCAGTGACCATAATCACGTGAGATTTCTTAACTCTTTCGTGGTTCAAGGCTGGAAAAGACTAGTCAAATTGTTCCTGGAACTGAAGAAGACTTTCTAAAACCATCTTTGAACCAGGAAAGAAATATGGCGCGAAAGTTAGTTTCTCACTGGCTACCAGATTGTTGCTACAGTTCCTGTTGTTATAAAACGCAAACTCGAGATGAGTTATTGAGTGTGAAAATGTTGAGAAGTGGCGATTCACCGAACGAAACAACGAACGATTCGAAAACAAAAGAATATATAAAATCCGAGTCCACGAGATCGAACGAGTCCCTAGCACAAACTGATATCACTACAAAGGTTGATGGTAGGCTTTGCTCGGACGATTGGAGAAGGTATACAAATCCAAAGAATTTGGAGAGAAGTATACTGTCGACAAGTAGCGAGGGCTCTTCATCTATCATCGTTATGGAAGATATTACACCTGTGAAGAACTGTGTACGAGTGGTTTCTAAGATGGATGAAAACAAGATTAACGAAACAGAGGAATCCGATGATAACTGGGAATCTTCGTCTCTCTTGGAAGTATTCCCCAAGTGTCATGTTAAAGAAAAGGAACAACGTTCTTCCTCCACTTCGGGGATACGGAATACTATGTTCTCGAAATGCCAAACAAAAAAAGTAAAAACGATTTCGAGAAACGGTCAGAAGAATGGAACAAGTTAGTTTACTCACGTTTTAATCACGTTTAGTCGCTACAACAACAACTTCACGACTTCGAATCTTGCGAAATCACTCTAAATTTTCTAAGAGAAATGGAATTAATCAACCTCATAGGACAATGATTAAAACTATAAGTCAAACGCGATACATGATAAGAGCCGTTCACTGCACAAATCGATTAAGTCCACTTTTTGAAGAATCTTAAATTCAAGTGTCAAAGCACTTGGTATAGTTGAAAGAGGAGGAGGGGTTGGATAAGAATCATCCTCCATAATCACTGTTTTAACACCAATTTATTGTAACAAGAATAATCGAGTGACCGACAACGCTTCGGCTAACCAACGATATATCAAAAACTCAAATTCTTGTCGCCCGTTTCATTCCTTCTTGCATTCGTGCCGATATAGTTATAACTTTTTATATTTATAATAATTTTTCTGGATAATAAAAATTAACACCGTTAAACGACAACATTTTTTTGGCCATTGAATAATAAATAATAATTTATTTTGGAGGCCATTTCATCGCATTTCTCAACTTTTTGTTTTTTTGGAGTTAATCGACTTGTACAGTGAACGGCTTATATGTTAATTCTCCATGTAAATCCAAATATGCCCACAAATATGGTCGCTAATACCCTAATGGAGCATGCGACTTTAACCCTTTGCACCTAGAATTACTTCCGAATGTGCAAACAGGATTCGTTTATTAATTAAATAATGTAACTTATAAAGCATGTACATAATTTACTGCAATAGCACTTGAGAATATATGAACCTTTAGACATTGAGAAACACATTTATCCCAAAAATCAAAATTTAATACAGTTCTATTCTATTTTAATGTGCGATTATATATGAAATAGTCACAGATATCCATTGAAAGTTCCTATCATTTAGGTTACAATTTAGAGAATTTCTCCATTTCATACGAAATATCTTCATACGTCTTGCTTCCTTATACAAATATTCTTTGCCACTTTTTTTAACCGTTTAAGAACAGAATTAAAATGATTTTACTTAACACATTTTTATTTTTACAAATTATTTAAAAATATGTGTATACATGGAATCATGGGAAGGAAATGTCAACTGATTATCCTCCAGGACATAGGCATCACATATTCCACTATGGTTTTTTACTAGAAACCAGTAGGCACTTAAAAAATTAATTTTAAATTTGTGGTTAGCAATAATAACCAGTTGCCATTGAAAGGGTTAAATGTAGAGATAGTCTGCATGAATTAAAATGTTCCTTCAAAGGTGACAACTGTCTGCAAAGGGTTAATTAATGTAACTAAAAAAAAAAATTAATACAATACACTAGTAGATTTCTCTCCATTTTATTTATGATGTGTCTAGCTCATTTATTCTCAACATAGGCTATATCGCCCCTGGTGGGCGATTGACACCTTGAAGTGGGCGATTATTTAACTATCTGCTTTTGGGGGCGATAGTCACTTTGCGTGGATGAATCATGAATGTATTATCTAATACGTTTCAGCCGCTGTGGATGGAAACTAAAGTTTTATTCGTAACATTTCTAAATTTGAAGATTCTAAAAATTAGGATTCGTATATTGCTAATTGTTCATTATTAGAATTTTGTCTACGATGGCACAGCTCCTTTATGCCTAAAAAACAGAAATCAAATGACACAAAATGTTGTTTTTTTTTTTTATTAATTTAGAAAGAATTTGTATAAAAGTTGTTTTATGCAAAAGTTTCAGTCACGCAGTGGCTGCTGATCGTATGCTGATCGTATCGTAATTAATACGAAGTAGATAATATAGGAATAGCATCTAAGCAATTTTCTAACGGTATGCTTCGTTGAAGATTAAACATGAATATTTTACGCTTAAACCAATGCACTCAGTTGCAAGACTTTCCAGTGTGGAAACCTTCCAATCAGAATTGTATATTTCTTAAAATTCCAGGCCTCTTTAACCCATTTCTATCTTCATTTTGATTTAAACTATTGTTATTTATATATGACGAGTGATTTCATGAAAAAAAGATAAACGTGTTGATTCGTGTTTGATCAATGCAAAGATAGAATTCGTGTGTAAAGTCGAGGACTTCTAATTTCTAATTTCTTAGAGAACTTAAGTAATTCTTAAACGATTAATTCTTTAGATTATCTTATTCGATCGTCTTGATTATCACGTTGCAGATGACGGAAGTAGCTTGTCAGAAGCGTGCAGTACTCCTATCATTGGCGCAGGATCAAGGACAGGCTCTAGTCATACAATGATAGACGTAGATGACATGGAGTCTGGACTACACTCTGGACATCTTGCAACTCGCGCGTCTTTGTCCAGTCTTGGAGTAAGTACTTACACATATTTACCAACCACTATATCCTGAATGGTGACAGATAAATGAATTAAAATGGGGTTCAAGGAAGAATCAAATTGGTTTGAAAGAGAATATTTATTAGCGAAATTAATGATTCTAATCCACATTATCAAAAATTAGCACATTCGCGACCGCTGACGTGAATTCACGTCACTTTAAATTCTATAAAGAAGAATCGAATTGGTTTAAAAGAGAATATTTATTAACGAAACTAATGATTCTAATCCACATTATCCAAAATTAACACATCGCGACTACTGACGTGAATTCACGTCACTTCAAATCCTATTCCTGGTTGTCTATTATCTACTTTACAAGCAGGTATACAAATCATGAAAATCTTTTTATTTAATACTCTACATATTTACAGCAGTAAATTTTTTATCTTTGTCTTAACGATACAAATTTGCGATGTCCAACTTTAGAATTTTATTGTTTTCGTCAACACTCGATATTAGAAACGTAAAACATCTGCCTGTCGCGAATAGTGTTAATATATTGCTGCGTGAAACCTGATGATTTACTATAATAGCGTAGGAGTCTAAACGAAAAATACGCCACGGAGATTCGAATCCACGGATCTTCGGTTTCACAGTCAACCGCTTTTCCTACACGACCAATTCCGCACCCTACGATTCGTGTGCTTGTTTGACTCCTTATTCTTGGCTATGGGGGGCGCGACACTACAATAGTACACTAACTAATTGTTTATTACATTACAAATTCGATATGTTAAATAAATAAAATGTACATCTCTGTTAAACAGAATATACGTTCCAACTTATTACGCAACAAAAATATATATAAACAGAATTATTGTCAAGTGTACATCGCAATAATGAATAAGGTATTATAGTGTCCGAATATTAACCTTTTGCATTCGAGATGTGACTCTCAGTCACCACTAGGTTTTCTTTAGGTTTAATTTCTTTGGAACTCGAAGTGCCAATAAAATGATTGTCGTCGAGCCAAAGGTGACCTGATTCTCAAATCTCAAATTAGAGATCTCATTATTAGAATTTTGTCGACGATGGCACAGCTCCTTTATGCCCAAAAAATAGAAATCAAATAACACAAAATGTTGTTTTTTTTTTTTTATTAATTTAGAAAGAATTTGTATAAAAGTTGTTTTATGCAAAAGTTTCAGTCACGCAGTGGCTGCTGATCGTATGCTTATAGATTAAGTAGAAATTATTACGAAGTAGATAATATAGAAATAGCATCTAAGCAATTTTCTAACGGTATGCTTCGTTGAAGATTAAACATGAATATTTTAATTATTTCGAAATCTCAGCATTCGTGGCAATAGAATACTAAGAAAAAAAGGCCTCGAGTGCAAAGGGTTAACCCTTTGACGAGTACGAACGCACCGGTGCGTCCTCACTGACGTGTGCCAGGTAGCGTAACAACGCATCGGTGCGTCCAAAGTTATTCTAGACAAAGAGAGTACAAATCCACAGCAGCAATCGTTTGTTATGCTTTCGGTTATCTTTGTTATCGTGTTTAGGATATTATGTCTTGAGTTCCACCTATCCACTACAGAAAGAAATAACCCTAATTAGAAGTGTGTGGCAATCTATGCATGCCGTTGTTCCATTGTGCGTATACCCGTGCTTTCAGGAATACCACACAATAAATGAATTTTAATACTTTGGAAGTAAGTACTCATCTGATATCGTACATTGTTTTAAATATTTTATCAAATAATAACATCAAAAATGTTCAGATTCCACTTCCACTTAAAAATGAATATGATATACAATACATATAATATAATTATTAAATAAATTAACATTACATATATACAATTTCTTACTAATTTATGTATTCATGTAGATATAACGTAGTCTTACATATAATATAATTATTAAATAAATAACATTTATTTTTTACTACTTTATGTATTAAAGTATTATATGTAGTCAAATATATATAAGAAATAAAATATTGTTTATGTTATGGAACAAACCTTAGTCATAAAGCGTGTGTATGTCCCCAAAATGCTTACTCGTCAAAGGGTTAATACGAGTCACTGTGTTTTTTGCCATACTAACAGATACATTAGGCACAAATTCTATGCGATTGAATGTTTAACACTTTATTTACCGGGAGCCTATTTATAGGCTTTTTAATTGCAGTATTTAGCTATTCGAATTTATTTACTGTGTTGATGGTTGTCTACCTACAATGATCAGTGTTTGGAAACAGACTTGGCTTTCAATGTACTCAGTAACAGTATGGAGAAGTTATTGTCAGCCTAGATTGGCATATGATACTGTACAAAATTCTTGTTTGAATTAAAGACTGTTTAATTCTCGTTTTTAAATAGCCCGCTAGATAAAGTGTTAAGTATATGAATGTTAAGTACAAGCTAATAATACGTTAAAATATGTACAGTGTATTTAGTTTGGTGTAATATTTATGTGTTTACCGTCAACTTTTCAGGCACGCTCGGATTCAATGGCGTCGGTTTACAGCGGTGCTGGTGAAGGAAGGTGCTGTCGCTCGGTCGTCGTCACAGGAGAGGTCGAATTCGCTTTGCAATACGACTACAAGCATCTAACGTTCGAGGTGCACGTAACGAAATGCAAGAATCTTGCACCGGTTGACGTAAAACGCAAACGCTCCGATCCGTAAGTAACCATAACTAATTACTATCGAATGATTTAATCGATTAATACAATACTGTCGATCGCATGTACACTCTCGGATTTACTAATCGTTTGATTACTTTACAAATAGTTATTGCCCAATTGTAGGACCGATATACACGTTAGTACACCTCTTTCTTAAACATACCTTCAAGCAACTTCTATTTATTTCTGACAGAACACTTTTCACTAAATCATTCCTCCTCGGTAGGATACCAGAAACCTTGCTATTAGATTTTTTTCTGCGTTTGAATTTCAAAGAAACTTTTCTTAACAGACTTCTTTCGGGATCATATCAACAATCCAAACTGTATTATTATTATTATTATTTATTTATTTATTACTTTTAATCCGAATATGGTTTATATAGCATATACATGTATGTGTATGACATGAACATATTAACAAACATATGGCTTAACATTTTAATGCGCCTTTTTTTACATAGATTAACTTAAAACTACATAGTTTGTATAGCGTTTGTGTGCTTACATTATTTTAATGAAATGAAATTATAATAATAATAATTATTTAATTAAAAGTTTAAATTAAATTGAATTTTGATTGCGCATCGCTTAATAAACTCGAGTATAATCAGCAGACCTTTAATATCCGCACCACATAGGAAGCAAACTGTTGTATAAATAAGCATTCCTTTGAGTCTGATACTCGACAAATTGTAATTCAAGGAGGTCAAGCATAAATAAATATTCCTTCTTAGTATTTACATTAGGTCTGTAGAAACACATTGGTATTTGCACAGGTACTTTAGAAATCAGTTTCATCCCAGTTTCTGGCAACTTTAAAGAGAAAACTGTATAACTCCCAATACCTGCGGATTCAGCTACATATTCTCTCCATCCCCAACTTATTCTTTACTCATTAACCCACTCATTGTTAAGTAAACATCCCTTCCAATCGTAAACACTACGCAACAAGGTTTTTCACGAAGTTGTCGACGTTCCACTGTAATTCATAATTAAACAATTCTCACGTGTCCCTATAAAGGTCTATTTACACATATCCGTAACGTGTCAGTTCCGTATCCGTTCAGTTCCGTAATGTTCCATCAGTGTCAGTGATTTTAAATATTCTTCTATTGTTTTTGAATGGGCATGTTCACTCACGTCCGACACCGCTCCGTGACGTTATTGATACGGTACGGATACGGAACTGACAGGTTACGGATATGTGTAAATAGACCTTCATTGAGATCGTCCTGCAAATAAATCATCCGTTTCTGACATAAAATTGTTAACCAGGTACGTGAAAGTCTACCTGCTGCCGGACAAATCGAAGAGCGGCAAGCGGAAAACGAAGGTGAAAAAACACACGTTGAATCCCGAATTTAACGAAACGTTGAAGGTAAACACTCGCAATGATTTTTACTTGAACTTTCTGCCTGTTCCTCGTTGTCCTGCATGACAATTAGAGTTTCCATGGTTCGCTACGACGACATTTCAGTTCCATATGAGTCTGAGCGGCTTGGAGACCAGAACCCTGTGGCTGACGGTTTGGCATTCAGACATGTTTGGACGCAACGATTTCCTCGGTGAAGTCCAAATGCCCTTGGAGAATAAAATCTTCGACGATCCCACGCCAAAATGGTATCCACTTCAGGAGAGAGTAAGTTCACTAACGCTAACAGCCGCGGAGGGGTTGCATCGAAATCATCGACAACGCTCGAAATATTATAATTTTACCGACGTTATCTGCTCATTAATATTAGGGAGACCAGAAAGTAATATCGTTTCTGCGAGTGTCAATACTTGTTTATCATTTATCAGGTCGTTGTGTACCAATTGATTTTTGTCGATGAGGTATTAAAAATTTGCACACCAGATAGCAAAAGGTTGTTGATAATGAGAGCGATTACATAATTGATTAAAAAAAGAAATTTATTAAAAATTTGTTTGAATTTAATGTAAAAGAAACGACATTACTTTCTGGTACCCCTAATACATACAGGTTCGTTGACTTGCACGTGGAGACGTTAACAACGTTAAGTTTGAATTGGAGTTAAACGTTCCGCGTTCTAAGAGATCGCGGAACGTATAGATAATGAAAGGCATATGGGTAGTGATGTATTACTATCAAGAATGTATCATAAGTTTAAAATAACTGCATATCCCTTAAATTTAGTCCCAATTTGTTTCCAGCATTATTACTTTTCCAGTGCACCCTTAACACATTCGTTTCTTCTCAAATTCTTTTAATGTAGAGATTTAAAGATTGCAGTAAAAATTAAAGAAAATAATTAGGTTCTTAACAGCAGTGCATGGTTTTTCATTCTCTAGTGTCAGTTAATTTTATCAACATAACATAACTCTGCATATCACATCACAACATACTCCAGCATGATATAGCATAATACATGTTCTAATAGCATAATGCAGCAAAATACAGCATAATTTTGCACATCACAATATACCCAAGCACGTTAATTTCATCATTTTATCGCAGGTTTCTAGCATTCTAATTTCAAAAGAATAATGCTTACGTTTAATCACGTTTAATTACATTTGTGTCCTACACTCTGCGTTTGTACAGATGTCCTACTTATGTACATCTCGAAAATGAAGCCTCAAACTTCATAATGGTAAAATAATTGTCTACTTATTTCCTCTTCGCTTAAGAAATTTGAATATTTTAGCTTGTTCAGTCTTTTGGAAACATCCTACGTATACTCCCACACACGCAAGGCCTTTGCCTCTCAGGAACAGATTTGTCCTACTTCACATTTATTAATATGTGGAAATCCTGGTCGTTAGTCTTGTTCCTTTCCCATATAAATTATCGACGATCCGTAAAAGGAAACGAACGTGTATGTTGGTAAATCGAATCGTGGTCAAAGACTGTGGCAATGAAACGATTTCTATTGAGTAGTTTCGATGAAAACAACCGTCGAATTTTTGGTGAAATGTTCGTCAGTGATTTCTATGTAACCTTTCGCAAAGGACAAATGAAAATGACATTCACCGTTGATCGTGCTAGAAATAAGAGTACGCGAGAACGGCTTGGGAGAAAGTAAGTCTGGGTACGGTCTTAATTAGTCTCTAGCACACAATTAGAGCCTCCTATGTTTGTTTTTGTTTACGTTAGTAATCCCAATCGACGTAGTTTATGATAGGACAGCGATACTGCACGACCTACGCACACTGCAATTACAGTACTTAATTGCATTTAATTTTCACCGAATTCGAAAGATTTGACTGCAAGAAATAGCATGAATGAAGAAAGTTACTCGCAGAGAGCACTCATTTTCTAGAAATAATTAATGCCTTGACTGCATTGTGTTTTGTGGAAAAAATTGTACCCAAAGCAAATTGCTGCAAAGATTTCTTAAAATAAATTCTTTTTGTTGCATATTATTTTGAGAATTGAAGATTTGACATTGAAATAAAAAAGTAACAAAGTAATTCCTTATTTGAGATAACGATTATTTAAAATGAATTGATATTTTTAGTTTTCAATAACTTTATCGAAAATAACGTTATAAATTATTTCGAATAGTCATTCCTTATTTTCGTTTTAATAAAATTTTGACTAAATCTGGTAGAGTACTTGGCCAGAATGAGTAATGTAGCGCATACCGAAGCTCGAGATGGAACGATTACATTGCAATTATAACTTTTAGACAGAACCGTTCGACGATCCCGTTGCGTATAAAGGCGAGGTGATCGTAGGCTTAAAATTCGTACCACCAGATCCTACGCAACAGGAACGTGATCGAGAAATAGGTGCTTCTAAATCGAAGAAGAACTGGAGCCGTGGCGCGTTGCACGTGCTCGTGAAGGAAGCCAGAAACTTGCAAACCAGGGGGAAGAATACGGGCACGTGTGATCCGTTTTGCAAAAGGTATTCCCTCTTAAAGATATAAATTGAAAAAATTCACGCGAAAATCTGTATGTTCCATTTGGCTCTGTGTCAAAATTACGAAACTTTAGTATCGTTTTTCATCAAATTGGAGTGGTTAATTTAACCCTCTATGGGTCCGTGTAACTATCTGATCACATGCTAATATATCAACATTTTACCAAATAATTATAGTTTTTTTTCACAAGATGACGAATACGTTTTAATTATATAATGTCTCTGATAACCAATGATAATATTGACGACGGTTAGTAGCACTATCAACTTGAAATATCAAAGTAAATGCCTTGCAAGTTGTCTGCAGACAAAAAATTCTCCCATAGAGGGTTAAATTGAAACAGGCTGATAGGATTCATATTTAATCGAACAAAGTTTTGTTAAAATACTCCATTAAATGAATCCACGAAACAACTATCTTAATTTTGAACTAATTTTTGAACTAATTTTTTCTTCCTTCGGACGGAGTTGTTTTTGATAAATGACCCAGTGTCTGTTTTCTATAACGATATAACGATATGATAATAAGCTCTAATGTTTTCAATTCTTTGATTGCTTTTAGCGTAATATTTCTAGTGAATCGCTAACTTTGAATGTTTTCAGTTACTTATTACCTGACAAGGGTCGTTCGGGGAAACAAAAGACTGGAGTGGTTCGCAGATCTGGTGGTTCGCCAGTATGGGGTCACACTTTCATTTATAAAGACGTAAGTCTGCAAGAACTGGCGGAACGTGGACTGGAGCTGACAGTTTGGGATCACGATCGTATCGCCAGCAACGAATTTTTAGGCGGAGTACGATTCAACCTTGGCACAGGTACGTTTCTTCGAAAACGAAATTCCCTGCGTTCAATTCTTATCACAATACATGTTAACTATCATTTAAAAATGTCCTATTAATGTAGCTATAACTTTCATCATTTTTTCTCTAATTTTAATTCATAACCTTGCGAGTCAATGCAGTTGATTCCTCGAAATGTTGAAAATAATTGATCTTCCCCAACAAATTCCACAGGATATTTTTGCTTAACTGTATTTCCAACGAGTACATATTACAACATTGTATCGAAGATGATATCAATATCTCTGCAAATAATATTTTTATTAAATCTCAAGTCTAATATTTATTTGTACTTTACATGAGAAATAATTGCGTTCTCTTACACCGGACGTACAATTAAATATCAGTATTATAATCGTGCAGATATCTTAATGACTCACTTATGCAACACTTATCTAAATATGCGTTAGTTGAATATGCGTTAAATTCGTTAAATAAATTATGTATTAAATTCTTTATCTACTTTAGTAAATCCAAGTAACAACGAGTAAAATTTTATTGAACATTTTTTTGTCATTAAAATTAAATTATAAAACAAATTTAAAATGGTGATTGCAATTAAAATAACACTAGTACAAAAATGGACAGCTTTCGAAACAGATTCTTTTGCGAATAATTCTAAATTAAATATTTCTAAAAATGAAAATGATAAAATAATTGATGGGAATAGATTACAAGAAATAAGCTTGATTTTGTTACTAATAAAGGGTGAATATACAGGGTGGGCCACTAACTTGTTCCACCTTGTCTGGAACTTGTCTGTTCCAATGTCTTAGTTATTTATAGTCCTATGAATAAACTTGTCAGGATAAAGTTAGTTGCATTCTTTTGAGAGGTATCTATAATGGAGGAACATAATTTTTCCCAACGTCATTATTTCATGAGATTTCAAGTTCATCGATGATTTCTTTAAATTGAACGCACTATTAACAACCAAACCGACTGAAATTTTCAGGAAAACACTATGGAAAGCCTGTGGATTGGATGGATGCTACGGGTCGCGAGCTCTCGCTTTGGCAGAGCATGCTCGAGAGGCCTAACTTCTGGGTAGAAGGCGCCGTGACTCTGAGGCCGAATCTGCACAATCACGGAAAAACCAACAGCTCTTAAACGAACGTCCTTGCGTCCAAGTGAATTTCTCTCGTACTTAAGTGACACGTTTCATCGTGGACCTTCAATGTGTCCGTCTCAGCGAAGCTCGAAACGCTTCGGCCTAGTTTAGCTTAAATGTACATACGTGGCTGTATTTACGTGCCACACAATGAATAGCATCGAAACGCGACTTTCGAAATGGAAACAGTGCCTTTAGGAGCGATGCCGGTGCATCGTATCCTGTCCAGGGCACAGTCTAAATTTTTAACGGTCCCCTGCTGTCGCCGCGACACAGCAAACTGCCCACTAGGATCTCCGTAACAAAAGAGGATCCACGTAATCGTATTTGATTCATAATTAGTACTTATTTTTTGATTTGTACATGTTCGTAACTGTTATAGCTCGTAGCTTTTATGTTCTCTTGGTATGTAGTTCTGTACGTATCGTATTCCCAATTTCTGAATTTCTGTACGAAAGGTTACACGATATATATGATTTTCACTATATATTTCTATTCTTCTCGTTCTTTCATTCAGTTCGTTTGTTACCTATGATTTTACGTTACTGCCTCCGTTGTCCATTCTTACGGAAGAAGAAAAGGTCCGAATTGTAAGGTGAACGAATCAATTAACAAAGTTAGGCGTGCATTACGTCTCAGAACGCGTGTCGTCCTTCTGGATTACGTTTAGCAATAGTAGATTATCGAGAAGTGAAATTTTGTATAGACTTCTGTCCAAACAGGATGACTATTGAGTACTTAACGTGTACCAGCGTGTTATTCTCGAAAAGGAAGGATGACGAAGAGGTAATCGATACTATGAGCCCATTCCAAGCGTACGCTTCTCGAAGAATACTTGTCGATCGTACGAGTGCGAAGCAACATTAAAATATCGCTTCGAATAGAAATTTTTAGGGAGAGAATAATTTTGAATTTGCGAGGAATATGCATCGATTAAGTTTTTAACGAAAAGGCGGAGATGCAAACTCGAGAGTAAGAATTTGCAACGTTTGGAACGTGGCATACTTTGTGGACACTTGGCTTTCTTGGAGAGAAAGATGTTGCCAGTGTGTACGACACTTCGAACGATTTCTTGCGCTGAGCATTGCCAGAACTATGGAACGGTGTGTTTAAGGAATTAAATATCACCGGTTTCCAGTACATATATAAATATATTCATATAAATGTTATATTTATACAATCGTGTAGGATTATACAGTATGATAGACCATGGGGCTTTGGATGAGCTGTTTCAGCGTCTAAATTCGCGAGTGTAACGCCAGTGTTTCGTCCAAGAAATCAGAGAAGGGCAAATATTTATTCGAATAATTAACAACGAATAAAACTATCGTACACTGCCGCTCGAAAGTCTTGGGACACTTGCTAATACCACGCATAAGTTTGAAAAAAATGAAACCGTTAACAAAAACTTATTACTTAATATTTTGTAGAACAAGGTCGCGTGCACTGCGTAACGGATTTAAATACTCGGGAAGAAAATTCAAAAAACAATCAAGTGTTTTTTCCAATTTTCTTTCAGGTGTTTCACTCATTTTTGGTGAAAAAATCTATCGAGTTAGTTTGGCTCAAGTTAGAGATATCAGTGCGACCATTAATTTTATTTCTTCTAAATAACTTTGACGTATCTTTACCATGTGCTTGGAATCAAAATATGTAAAAGAAAAATTAAGACTCATTAATGGATGACGAGAATTCTTTCAGTTTGAAACTTTTATGATTCATAGACTACCGAAATTTGCGAGAAAGGCTTTTTTAGAGCTACGCATTTGCAAAATTCACTTATCAGATGCTACCTCTTCGCTGTTGCCACTGAAATCAGATCATTTCTACTCTTGTTTGATCTGCTGTAACTTTTGAAACTCTTTCTCTGCTATTACGTTTACTTAGTGTGTTTAAATACTTGTCGACAGCCATGGTCATTTTGCTTGGTCGTTTCGTTAATGTACTATTCTTTGTGACGATAAACGTTTTTTAACTTTTGTCCAGTATTTCTTTAACAAAATAGTATTTCGAGCCTCAATTCCTTCGTTTTGATCTCAAAACTCTTCCAAAATTGATCTCAGATGGAAAATAGTAAGGATTCTTATCCAAGCTTTCCTTACGCCGCACGTTTACATCAGGAATTCAGAACTTCGCGCCAATGCAACCATAATTAAATGGACGAAGAAAGCATGACAAGCCATACATAGCTACACGAATTAATTGTGCAATAATTACGTCGTATGCATTCTTCGCTGCTTAAAATAGCCAACTTATTAAATTATTTACAAACTGTACAAAAGACTGCAAACATATACTTAAATATTAATATTCGATAATAAAAGTAAGCGTCCTAAATCTTCCGAGCGTCAGAACGTTCTACAGTTAGATCTATTTAAACAGCTATCTATTCAACGAGAAATGTTCCAGTCCGTAACGCGAATCCTAACTTGTATTCAACGAATAACAGGTCAAAAGGTGTTCGTCGTTTATTCGTTATTCGAGATTTCTAACCACATAAGTATTTCGCTCTTCTCTACGGGAAACTTCCTTTTTGTAATTCGAATGTGTTTGAACACTACTTACACTATTTTCGGCGTGAAATCAAACAGCTGCCGTATACGTACTTAACTAATTATACAACGTCGAGTCTCCGATTATTGCATATAGACGTATAGTATAATAGCATCGTGTACTTATCCGTAAGGCTCTTCCTAAATACAGGGTTTGACGATCGGAGCTACAAACTGCCTTCGTCGTAAGTTCTTCAATAATGATTCGATAGCGTTGTACACGAGAGGGTTTTCCATTCGAAGGAAACAAATTTGCCGCCCGTTTGTAACTATCGTTGCGGGACTATGTTGTGTACGTTAAGGACCAATAACACTAAATTAACAATAAAGTCAATAATAGGAAAGAAGAGAGCTGTGTTACAAAAACAAAATTCACGACACGCGCGTCTGTATTCTGTTCGAGACCAAGTTCGACGAATGGAACCAGGCATCTATTTATATGTCACTCTTCGGTGTACATGATAATAAAAGTTTTATACGTTTATATTGCCGAATTACGTTTTATTTGATACATAAAATAAGAAAGAAATAACAATTACGAGATAACATAATAAAATAAAATAAGAACACATTGTCAGTCGTCAGGCAGGGAGATGATCTTCGAGTGAGGAACGAAGATTTTGTGCATCGTTTTGATCGTACTTACTCCACGAGGCTGACTTCGTCATTCGTTGAAAAAGCATGGCTGTAACTTACGTCCAGAAACGTTTTTAAGTTACTCAGGCTGTGTTCAAAGATCACTGTTCGAGATGAATCGGTTTCCTTCGGAATTCTTTCCGGAATATCGGTGTTTACATTTTCCAAAGGCTCCTGAATCAAAACCAGGTAAATGACGGAACATTTCTTTCGAGCAAATATAATACACTATACTTAATAAATACACTATATACAGGGTGCGGCCGAATAACATATACAAGCGGACACGAGGTGGTTCCTTATGAAAAAATACGAACAAAATACGGAATAAAATTGTTTCATTTAAAGCTGAGTTTTCGAGAAAATCGAGTTTGAAAATCCTATTTGTACGTATGCTGTTACGATTGAGTTACGGTTCGTTGAGCATCGTTAACGCGTATCGTGTTCATAAACATTGATCTGAGACTTCTTCTAATAGTTACGTGTCTAAGCAGTCAGTTTTCGTGGATCTATCTAACGATGAAGTACGCGAATAGGGAATACGTTGACAGTTGACACTAATAAGGGATACGCGTTATACACAACGAACCGTAACTCAGCCGTAACAGGATACGTACGAATAGGATTTTCAAACTCGATTTTCTCGAAAACTAAGCTTTTCCTGATGATTTCATAAGAAACCACCTCGTGCCTACTTGTACACGTTATTCGGCCGCACCCTGTATATTAACCAAAAATTGATTTAATTTAATAAAGCAATCTAAATAGAGACGGGAGATTCCTTAGCTTAATTAAAAAATAGTTTCTTTGTCTCAGGTATCCAAATAAAATTAATCCAATTCATTGAACACAATCAAGCCTGAATAACAACGAAATAATTATAATTGTGGTCTCTTAAGCACGAATGTTCTTATGTATATGTTTCCTCCTACTTCTACTTTCTACATTCTTTGTACACTAAAAAAGAAACAACAATTTCTTATTACTGAAAATAACCGAAACTATAATTTAAAAATATTCTAAGAAATGTTACCTTCCGATAATACAAATTTTCGGAGACACCTATACAATGCGTAAGTAAAAGATTGTAATGAGATTTGAAGTGATCAATTTTAGACTCGTGTAATAACGACTCCAAGATCATTCCAATTAACTTAATAAGAAACAAAGTTGACGATTTAAATCTAACGACACCAAAAACATTAAGCATCCTCGATTCACTTGTTTAAAGAAGATAGTGAAAATAGTATAACTACCATAAGATTAAAAATCGTACCTTTGTGATCAAGGGGATTGCGAATCGACGTTGGCAAAGGCGTATAGTGAACGTTGAAGAATATATCGTCGAACTCGTCCATTGTGCTGGAGACGTAGGTCGATGATAATTCTGGAACCAGTTTCACCGTTCTCGAGTATTTTCCCCGACTTTCAGCATCCGTTTTCTCCTGACGCGTAACTGGTCGTGAATCGAGAAAACGAAGACTCGGGGGTAGTACATATATCGCGTAAAGCCTGTAACGATTGTAATCCTCGTCGTCTGTGGACGACGGATTGGTCAATTGATCGGGACATCCTGGATTTCCTAGTAGACTCACGTACACCACGTTCGGGCAGCATTCTCTTATCCTCTTCAATACAGCGTCTATGTCCGTTATCTGAACAATTCCGCAATGGAATAGAATCAACGTAACTTTGAAATGATCGTTGAAATCGGAGAGACAAGAACTTTTCGCAAGGTTCATGGTAAAACTTGAATAAAACCTTACGATACTGAAATAGTATAACTTCTAGTCAGATAGAAGTACCCTATCGTTACGTGGATCACGCGGATTTTAGACTTACAGATGCCTCAACTTACACAAAAAGGATACTTCAGAAATTTGTATGCTTTCATAACCAATTCATGATCTGATAATATTAATGCTGTTAGTATAAAAAAAGATATTATAAAATTCTCCTTAGTTTCACCAGCATTGCAGCTTCTTCAACAGTCAAATGAAACACTGATATCAGCTGTCAGCGAAAAAGTTAGCAGCAATATCAAAAGCCTCAAATATCGAATTATTACTGCGTTTTGTGCAAAATTGCTAGCTGGTAAAATTAAAATATCCCTTAAATAAATAAATTTTTAGACATAAATATATTGGTACATTTTTATAGAGAACATCAAGCCGTATCATCTTGGTACAGTAAAAATATATGATCCCATTAAAAACATAACATTAGTGAGTTTTCTTATTTTCTGTACGCGTATACTATAACAAAACTAATAACATAAGTATGCGTTTCACTCGAAACCATTCAACTCTATCTGAAACAATGTTCGCTATGCATGATAATATTGACGTAAACCGTGCTGGTAGTTATGGTATGGTATAGTAGAACCATCCTGTGTATACAAATTTGATTCAGAATTCTGTTCGATACCCAACATACCACAACACAGTCGTTCTATCAAAAATGAATGAACCCATTTACATGTTACATCATCGCTGTATATTCGCAATGACACGAACAAGGTCGATGGCACCAAGTCTGGCGCATCTAGAATTTAAATTAGTACGAATAAATCATAAATTATTCTTTCCGTCTCCGAGTGTCGCCCGATTGAAGCAGGTACAGTTACCTTCTGTGCGTGAAATGAAACAAGTGGTTCATTTTGCTTCTCTCAATGTATGAGCTTGCTAATTATTACAAACACTTAATTATTACAAACATTATAGATGTATATGCGAGTTCCATAAAAACATACGAGATACTAGTTAATATTGGTAAACATTATCATTTTCCACCAAATACTGTAATTGTATGACATACAGAAAATAAAAGAAAAAATTTGGTAGGTATTTTTACCAGCTACAACGTAACATAGTTAAAATCATACATCACGATTTCCACCAAATATTGTAATTGTATAACATACAAAAAATAAAAGAAAAAATTTGGTAAGTATTTTTACCAGCTACAACGTCACATAATTAAAATCATACATCACCGAATTTGAAAAAGTCAGGGTAGCCTTGAATCGTTTTTAAGAAAATGTTTATTCGAAAATTGTTTACAATTTTTTGAAATTTGTAGACGACTGGAAACTAGCTAACTTTTGTTTGAAACATTTATTCGTCAAATTACCGGAAGTACCCGAAAAATTGCGCGGACTGTTACGATGAACACCCTGTATGTATAAGAATTAAAAAAAAAAAAAACTACTAGAGGTAACCATCAATAAACATAAATTACCACCATACCATGCGAAATAATCTATAATATTTTCGATTATAAGTATAATATGGAAATATTTATTAAATCCATATACATCGATCATGGTTAATTTATATTTGCTGTTTCTTACAATAAATTTATCTTTTCGAACAGTTACATTAGAAACAACATAAAATACTTTAATCTCCGGGTTCCAATTATTTTGCAAAGTATATCGATAGATCTATATTTAAAATAAATATACTTTATTTTTTTTCTATTATTCTTCAATGCTCGATAATACTTGTTATTCTGGACTCAAGCACATTTATTTTTAGCTACATTGTTTACAGATTCGAGGAATGTTAATCAACGTTTCAATGTTAATCACTATCTCTCGTGGCGCACTACTTCGAAACTTAAATCAAATGTTTCAGCATAGATACGCCACACGAATGTTTTTGTTAACAACTGTACCTCAATGTACGGACAATCAATCTCTCCAAATAACTTACAAATCACAATACACGATATAACATATCAATTAAGAAATCTCTGATGAACCGTCTAATATTAGAATAAATATTTATCATCTTCTCGCGTATATATTAATAAACCAATGATTTGTTTTTATCAGTGACATCTACAATTCGTCATTAAGCTTCGTTTGACACACCGAATAGGAAAAGTAAAAGAAAAACAAACCTTGTTGTTGTTTACGCTCAAAGTGGTCAGAGTTGGTATTCGGGGCAACGTTTTCAGGTCCCGAAGTTTATTATTGTCGAGTATCAGTTCCTGTAGATTTTGGAAGTCTCTGACGGCGGTGATAGAGGTTAGTTCGTTGTAAGAGAGGTCTAAGCTGGTGCAATTGTTGCCGACGACACCCACTAATCCTCCAGGAATTTTCTCCGCTCGCTGGCCCGTGTACCATACCTAGTTTCGACGAGAACACGTGTAATTGCCCGAACATACAAGGATCACGATTCCACGGAAGAGACATTTTAGGTGTGCGTTAATTAAAAAATACGTCGATTACCCGTCCACATCGAACCGTCAACGCAGTCCTATTAAAATCTCGCTGGCCCCGTTCCGCCATGTTCCATGCACGACACCATATGATCAGGAATTATCATAAAATAATGAGTGATAATACTTTGGATCGGCAGCGGTGCCACCATTACGAAAGATATTTCCAGTAGAACAAACATTGCTAACGCGGCTCGTTGGTCTAGGGGTATGATTCTCGCTTAGGGTGCGAGAGGTCCCGGGTTCAAATCCCGGACGAGCCCGTTTTTTTTTATTTATAGTTATTGTATATTTTTACACAAATAAAATCTATCAGATTTTAATTACAAAATGAACTATGAAATTTCTTTTAATAAATATGCTAAAAATATTAAAGTATAGTATGAATGGAGGGATTAGTAAAAATAATTCTATCGCAAATTTTTACATATATATTTTCAAATAGATCGTATATGAATAAAACAATTCATTTTGAAAAGTGTATAGATATTCCATACTTCATGCTATATAAGAATAAAATCTCGTTATATACAATTTTGTTATTTGATCATAGATGTACCGTTCCAATTTGTATCATAAAGCATAAAAAACACTGGGTAAACATTTACAATTGCACAGCAATTACTACACTCTAATTAAATGTATCATATTAATTCAATCTAATATTAAAACTTTATACAAAAATGTATTCAAGTTTAAAAATGAAACAATTCTTACTCTCAGCCCTTTCTTCTGAATATTACATTTATATTATTATCTTATATTCCCATGATTTGTATTCTTCTATAATAAAAAATCATTTAAACCCTTCTTTGGTTTTTTAGTACGTTTGGGTAGCATATAAGTAAGTCTTGCTTTGTTAACAGAATTTTCTTCATTAATAGTATGTTTCATCTTACTCTTATCCTTTGAACTTAAACTTTCTAATTTTGTTTTTATACGACTGTCCTTATTCGTACCTTCTTTAGACCCACCAGCCCTGTCACTTTCACTAGACACAATTGTACTCTGCTCCATTTTATCATCTTTAATTATGCTACTGTAATATAAAATATTACAATTACTATAAACTCTTTTATCAAAACTTTCAATGTTCTTCTGTTTTCTATACCTTGTAGATTTTGTAGTCCCTTCATTATCTTCGCTCAAATTAAGTGTATTATAAAAATTGACCATTGCTTGGAATGTATTTGTGCACTTAACAATATTTGGAATAAAAATATTTGTTTTAAGACATTCTTCCTTAAAAATTTCTGTTTCGATGTTCTCTACCAATGAATAAAAATGATAAATTGTCTATTCAAATAAAAATTGACAGCTGTTTTAAAAACAAAAGAAACACACTTCTTATTAACTCTGCACCTTCCGCCTTATATTCAGCAATTTCTTCGTCTTTTCTCTTTATTAAATCTAAAAGTATTTTGTGCTGACGAATAATTTCCATTGATGATATACATAATGGTTTAGTTATAATTTCCCAAAAATTTTTAGGTGTCCCTTTTGATAAATGCAAAGCAAATTTCATTGAACCTCCATTCACATGAGCGCGTAATTTTATTTGCTCAATAGAAGCTTCAACAATATACTTTGACATATTACTTAAAATATTTGTAACAACATTTCTATAATCAAGAACCTCGACATCTAAAAGTGGATTTAATTCCTAGAATAAAATTAATTAGATATACGGATAATTGTACTTTCATCGCAGAAACACAAATACATTGAAATTCTAATTCCTGAGTAGATAATACTCAAAAATTAAATATAACCTACATGTTTTCAAATAATATATCTTATAGTTAATTACCCGGCATCTATCTAAAATATTTTCATTTGTCAGTGTTTCCATCCATAATTCGATGAGATTAGTTAAGAAAACATGAACAGTGTCGTTTCTCCATGTGACAGATATCACGTAAACATCATTACCAATTGTAATGTCATTCCATACTAATCCTTGTTTAAATCGGTCAGAAATCACACTTTCTGTCATTTCGCTTTCGATAACTTATTAAGAACAAAACACCACCGATTTTAACTACAGAAATGATGTATACATTACAAATTATAATAAAGCGAGTTTCCTAACCTATAATCAAGTAACAACTTTTATCGTTGAACCAAGCATTTTTAGTATTACATATATTAGTATACTATGTATAAGTATTATACATAGTTTTTTTAATTTATCAATTTATTATTGCACCCTATATATATATATATATATATATATACAATATTGTTTAATGTATACTTTTATACATGTAAATAAAGTCAAATACATCTTTTTTATATGTACAATTCACAAACTGAACTGAGCCACGTTTGAGCCACGCTCGCTAAGCCGCTCTGTGAGCTATATCGAGTCCCCGACGTAGGCGCCCTCTATGTTTCTATCGCTATCACTTACGCGCGCGAATCTACATAATTGTTAATAATTATCCTTTATTATTCATTAAATTCATTGCAATCATATATTTCCATTGTATACAGATCATATAAGCAAGTTAAAGGACATAAGAATGGTATCGCCATTAGGGGACAGCGATCGAACTAATTTTTCACATATATTCACATTTTTTACTTTTTTCTGCATATTCATATAATTTTACATCGTAATTATCATAATTCAACTTCTAATTGTTCATTTGTACACTAATAATTGCCTGATATCAAATCCTTTTAAATAAGTAATACAAGTTGCTTTGTTAAAGTGTAGTCCTAACGGATTGTTTACACTATTCCTGTAACTTATAACATTTCCTTTTTCTCATTGTTCTTTCTTTTTATTTATCATTTCTTTATTCTTTTTTCACCATAGGTGTTCTTCATACTTTTAACCGGCTCTAACCCAACCATGAAAAACCAGGGAATAAATAAATATTAAAAATAAAAAAAAATAAAAAAAATAAAAAAAAAATATCGAAGAAATGTTGCGTCATCTAGCGGCGCGAAGTGGAGACTGTTTCACGACAAACTTGAATGGTTAGCCAAGGATGGCACCAGATATTTGTTTGTTTGTTTGTTTATTTAAAGTGTAGGGGCTCAAAAGGTCCCTATTACACTACAATGTGGTACAACATATATGGAACTGTCTAAAATATAAAATGTTATACAGAGTTTGATACAAAAATAAATTTTTCGCTTAAAACAACTCGTTATTACGCATACGTCTCATCCATGCATATAATATTCCTCGGTTTTCTTTTTTTAACTGGAGGCGCGTAATTCAATTTTTTAGCAGTAGACCTTACATCCTTATGATCTATCTGACCATATCTCACATAATCTGTTTGCTATGATAAACTTAGTTCAGTTAGTGCATTCTTACAAATTCTCTTCTAATATCGTCAGATATTTCTGTGAATTATGATAATAATAATTTCTTGAATTATGATAATTACGATGTAAAATTTTATGAATGTGCAGAAAAAAGTAAAAAATATAAATATATGTAAAAAATTAGTTTGGTAGTCGTGCTGGTTTGCGATACCATTTTTGTATCCGTTAACTGGCGTCCATGCTTTTATATGTAGCAAAATATGAATGCAATGAATGTTATGAATAATAAACTATAATTTTTAACAATTATGGTACTGCTTATTCCTCTGGGGAAATGATGCACTCCATTCATTACAAGGCTGATTGAGTACGTCTATCTTTCTGAACGACATTATACGCATTAATATACTAGGCCAAGTAGTATTACGTTTCTTTTGAAAGGAAATTAAATATCTTTAACGATAAAGTCTTGGTATTTCTGATGGAAACTTAGTATTTATGAGCGGCTTAGTGGGCGTTGGTCTTTCTGGATGCACCCGATGTAACATCACTATTTTATTACAAAAATGAAATCCATCTGAACAATATTGTTTCACATTTAGTAGTTATTCAAAATAGAAGTAGGTAAAATTTAGTCAAAACTGTATAAAAACATTTATTAAATATAAACATAACGAAAGATGAAAATGATAAAAGCTATACATGTTTTCTATTATGTTTTACAATTCGAACATTAACGGTGTGAAACTCTGTATCAGGTACGTTGTTACTCGTATTTGAATCGAAAAATCGATTCTGTAAATATTTTTCTCTTGTATGAGTCTACAATTCAAAAAAATCATAACTATGTTTAAAATATAAACATAAGCGTGTAGATTAAATATAAATTATTACACTTAGTACAAATAATTCTACTATAAGTACGTAACTTTAACGATCAATAATTGTTAAACGTACCATTTCTCGTGATTTATCGGGAATAATAGATAATGGTTTATTTTTAGTTAGTTTCGATCTCGAAATTTCTTTCCAATTAGTAAGCATCACTGGACTGCAACTTTTTAGATGTTCTTTGCCATCTTTGTCGGCGTTACTTTTATAATCATTTCGATATTTATCCGTATCGGCGAAATTCATTAATGTAGATTTTAACGTTTCATTCGGAGACTTTCTCGTTCTCATCGAGAAATAATTATAAATAGATGAGGTGCTGCGTGATGGTGCCTTTGAAGTATTTGTTTCCACATCTTCTCTAGAATATATTGTTTGAACTTCTTTTTCGTGTTTCATCTTCAAATTTCTATCGTACGTTGTCGTTTGGTCTCTATATGTAATTCGGGTTTTCGCTAAATATGTGTATATACGAATAAAAACGATATAAAATGTTACAATTTGATTGCTAAGTTGGTAGATGAAGAAAAATGAATTCTTTTCTTGAAGTTCGTTAAATAATAATTGTGATAATTACAACGTTTATTACAGGAACTCCTGATAACATCTTTATCCTGCAACAATATACTATCAGATTCTTTAACAATTTCTTTAGGCCTACATTGTGTTTCAGCATTACTAATTAGCCTTAACTTTAAACAAAGATTGCCTTTATTATCTATATATTGAGATGCTATTGCATGTTTTGAGGATACCTATGATACATAATAAAATGTGTAAATGTAATAAAGTATACACATATATCGTAGTATGGATCAAAATTAAATTCTGGAAAAGTTTATAAAAGGTACAATTATAAAATAATAATACAGAGAACAGTAATATAGAAATATTATTATAAAAACAAGTTTTCATATACTTAAGTATCGATAATACTATGAAAATAAATATAAATAAATTAGTCGGGAGAGTAAAAGTTGTTTGATCGAATTAAGAAGTAAATACCAAATTTTTGAACAGTTGATTTTTTCTATGATTTCTCTTTGACAAATGATTTAAGATGTCTTTTGTGTATGCGGTTATTTTACTAGTAATATTAGATAAATCATTGTATTCTTTTTTAAGCTGTTTAACTAGATAACCACTTGCTTCTGGAGTAGATATTTCGGGAATATTTTGATTTAGAAGCATGCACGATACACCTACATCCTTTACCAACACCGCATCTGGGAATCTACCACTGTTCTTATTACTCCTATAGGCAAGATTTACGTAGTCAATTATCTTATCATACATACAGTAATGAATTAACTATCATTATTATACATTTATAAATGTTAATTTTATTTAAAAATATGTATGAAATGTTATAAGCTAAAAATTTTGTTTTAAAGTATCTAGAAACGATTAATCATTAATCATTTTTAAATATTAACCCTTTGTATGCCAGTGGCTGATCTTCGCGTAGGAGAGTTCGACAGATCGATCCGTTCCATCCAAAGGGTTAAAACAAATTTACTAAAAAATATAACATAAAATGTAAATGAAAACGTTTATTTATAACTTAAAATTTATCTACAAATGTATTTATACGTAATATTGTTACATAGACAAAAATACAACTAAATGGTAAATTAACTTTGCGTAACAAAGCGTTTAATACCGAAAGATAATAAAAATAATAACCTATAGTAAGGGAATTGGCAATTATCATGAATTGAGGAAATACTCGTTTCGTCAAAGACACTGTTTTCCATTAATAACATCTTTTCAGTTTTGTTCACGTCATTGGCATAATCGTAATGCGATGTAGGCATCAAGGTACTCTCATTAATGACGTCTTTGTCTGACATTGTACAAACAAAACTCTTCGAACAACCATCAGTAATAGCAGAACGTTTCTTCATTTGCGGTACAATGTTAACCGATGCATCTCCTGCTTCCGGTGAAGCAATAAGGGCACCCATCTCAAAGCGGTCATTGTTAAATTATCGAGTAAATATTAAATTACTTGAAAGACAATCAAATTACTGACACAGAGATTACATCGATAGTTAACTTTCTTTCAAGAATACATAATAAATAAATGAATAAAATGTAACACGATAAAGTATCAAAATTAAAAGTAATTCTTATTATTGTTAGAAGAATTCTTATCGATAGAAGGAATAGTTAACCTTCTCAACAATTACCGAAATTCTAAATCTTCTCTGCCCCATCACTGAGAAACAGAGGCACGTTTGTATTTGTGGTTTATATTTCTGCCGAGTTTTAAAGACATCCATTACATAACGAAACCTCAATGTTTACCAATCAATTTTGAGACTTCAACACCTGAACAAACAAGGTTACATTTAGGTCGTTGATAATGAAAAACAAAATATATCTATATTGCTGCAGATCTTTGGAAACAATGTAGTTGCTATATTCATGTTGGATAGAATTGCAATCACGACTTAGAAGTTTGAAAAGTTAAAATATAATAATTAAAACCATTTTTAACGCTATTAGCTATACTGGGTGTAGAAAGTATTCGCACATCGATCAATTTCCAAAAAAACTGTGTAAAACTGTAATTTATTAACTTATTTTTTATAAACAATGACATTCTACATATTCTCAGAAATCTCTAGAATATATAGGTTACAAAAAAAAATAGCTATTTATGTAAGTTGCGAAATTAACAAGAAGAAAACAATTAATCGATAGCAATGTTGAAGCAATAAGTATTCGGACAACTGTTTAAAAGTACTTTACTGGAAATTTGATGTTTTCTAATTCGTACGGAACAATAAACTAATGTGTTTACGTTACAAACTCTACTGTAAATGATTCGTCATAAGAATCGTATAAATACTTATTGCTTCTATACTTTTACCCACTTTTCGCATTTTTTTGTTAATTTCACAAATTATATCAACTAGTAAATGTTGTTTGGACTATATCTATTTTAGAGATTTCTGAGAATATGTAAAATATCATTGATTAGAAAGAAAGAAGTTAACAAACTACAATTTCACACAAAAGTTTTTTGGGAAATTGATCGGTGTACGAATACATTCTACACCCACTGTATAAGTTCGAACGGAGCAAGTCAGGGCAAGTTAGATGCCTGATTAACTCCGATGAGATCTAACCAGACCTAATCATCTAACCTAGTGATTCCCAAATGAATCCGTGTCTTCACAGGAGAGCCGCGATATATTGTAAATATGTAAAATGTAAATGTAATATGTGAAAAATATAAGAGAAAGAAAAATAAATATTAGTAAAGTTTAATCCTTTGCGGACGGAATCGCTCGACGAGTGAACACGTCTTGAAGCGGCTATTTGCCGACACTCGTCCCTAAAGAGTTAATACTAAAGAAATTAAGTTTTATGAAATAGTAATTTATATTTAGTTAGCTTGTGCCACAAAGTGAAGTCTGTCTAACATATTTCAGAGTAGTCTCATATTAATTGGTATTAAAGGAGCCGCCGAAAATGATCTGTATACTAAAGGCGCCGGAAGTCTAAAAAGTTTGGGAACCTCTGAACCTAACCCGAGAAATAGACTCGTGAACAGTGGTGCTGTAAGAAGAGAAAGTTACTAGCTCTGGCACCAATTTAAATTTCTACCAGAAAGAAAGAAGTGTTATGATTGGTGCTGGACCTGATGACTTTCTCTTCTGAAACCACGCATCACTATCAATAAGTTTACGAATAATGTTACACGAAATGTTGACATTTTTGAGTGCATTACCCAATTACAAGCTTGAGGAATTTTTATAATAATCGAACTTTTGATAATTAACAGAGATATGTTCATCTAATACATCAGATTATATATTAAAATAAATTAATCATTCTGTTAAAACTGCGGACAGTATGACCGATTTATTTTATTATGCAATCTTTTAGGATTTCATACTGGTCTCTAAATTATTTAAAATAGAAGGTAATATTGCCTGTTTTGTTATTTGGATTGCTTTTATAAAATTGAATAACATTTGCTTGAATCGTTTTTCTTAAATATCCATAGTTACAAAGTTATAAGTAAACTGTAAATGTTTATGCAAATTCATATTTTCATAGATAGAGAACAAGAATTGAAACGTAAATGAAAGTATATTTAATACTTTCTAAACAATATAATACGTATATTAATGTTAATATTTTATATGTTCCTTCAATTGTGCACATTCTCATAGATTCTTACATATTTGGATTTACCATAAATGCTTAAATATCCTTAAAACCAATTCTTCAAATGGAAGTAGACAAATATTGTAAGTTATTCCAATTCGTTTGGGCTTACATAGAAGATTCTATCTATTAGATTGTTCGGGAGAGTATTTGTGATAGAAAATGGTCCTTCTTTTCCCCAAACAGTTGCAAAATAAATATTTGTTGCACGCTAAGAGATTAGTCATCCTATACTGCTTAAGTGTAGCAAAAATGGAGTCGTTTATCCTTGATAGTTTCTGAAAAAACAGATTGTAACACTTTACACGGGGCAGTCTGTATACCAGATTATTATAACATCCAAATTTTATGGATAAACAATCGATGAGAGTAATAGATTCATTAGAATAGTAGTAAAAAGAGAAAATCACACTTTGGTGAGAAAAGAGCTTCGACACAAAACAAGACTGAATTTAAAAATCTCCTCTTATTCGTTTCTTTCTCAAGTTCCTCTACTCGTGTAGTTGGAAGACAACGACGATTAAGAACAACGATGTAGCGATCAAAGGGAATGAGAGAAATGAATGTTAATTCAGCTATTCGACAAGGGCACTTGAAGCGAAGGTGTGTCGACGAGCGCAGAGTCTACGCCAATGGGGCACGTTCTTTCTGTTTGATCGTCATGGTTAACTCTTTGAAGTTAGGTGGGTAAAAATCTGTCCCACCTTTTGCTTAGCTTTACTATTTTATTTAAAGTTTTTCATTCATGTGGCAATACAACGAACTAACGACAAAAGTACGATAAGTGGAATCAGAAATGTATACAAGTCAAAACACGTTAGTAAGTTGTTGACACTGTTCTTCTGTGCAGCTTGAATTTAATTTTTGTTTTATAATCGTGTGCTTCAAAGAGTTAAATAATAAATTCGTTACAGTTAGTAGAAAGAAGAGAAAAACACGCTTTGGTGAGAAAAGAGTCTCGACATAAAACGAAACTGAATTTAAAAATATCCTCTCGTTCGTTAGTTTCTGAAATTCCTCCGTTCGTGTAGATAGATGACTAGACTGCGGAACTTTATGTAATATAAAATCTTCGCGAACGTGCCTACAAAAATTGAACCTAACTAGGAATTTATTTTAATCTGCAAATATTATAACATGAACTTTACTTTCAATCTTTTTTATATTCTTACGTATTGTTTGCATTTTGTAGTTTCTTTCATATTCAAATTTCCTATAAATGCATAAAGATCCGCAGTCTATAGATGATATAGATGACTAAGAACAAGGATGTAACGATTAAAGGGAACGAGAGAAATGAATATTCATTCAGCTATTCGTCAAGGGCACTCGAAGCAAAGGTGCGGCTTTCTGTTTGATCGGCGTAGTTAAATAATAAACTCGTTACAGTTAGTAGAGGAAAGAGAAAATCGCGCTTTGGTGAGAAAAGAGCCTCGATATAAAACGAAACTGAATTTAAAAATATCCTTTCGTTCATTAGTTCCTCAAATTCCTCTGCTCGTGTAGTTAGAAGACATCGACAATTAAGAACAACGATATAACGATTCACTGAAGAGTTAAAAAAAATAATCCTGAAAGGTAAGTGTCAAAGAAAATAGATTTAAATAAAATACTTGAATTTCGATGAAGTTCGTGTATCACGCTAATAACGGAGTACACTCTGTGCCTTACTAATATAAACTCACCTTTTATTTATATAAAAAGAAACTATACAACATCTAATCCTCCCTTAGTCACACATTTCAAGGGAGCACACGTAGTTGTAAAACCAAATTCCAAAGCTATTCGTGTAATTCCATTAATTGCACTAGTACTTTTCCTACAAAAAATTCTTGAAAATTGCCTTGAAAATTAAACGTTACACAGGTGGACCCCCTTAAGGGGGCATTTCATTGTGAACGAACAAAAAAAGCATATTTTCACTAATTTTTTTCTCAGGAACTATTACACAAAATTGAATAATTGTAATTTTCTCTTAAAGGTATGATTAAGGAAAGTAAATAAAAAATTTTTTTTTGGTAAAAAATATTTCGACATTTATTTACAAAATAATATGCATGTGTGCAAAAAAAAAGTTATCCGCTGGCGCAGGTGATTTTGACTCTTCTGGTAATCTGAAACAGAAAATCGAAAAAGTTTATTAAACTACATATGTCGTCACACCTATGGTCAGAACCTCCACTTATTTATTGCATCGAAAATAAACAAAATGGCAGCATTTCTTGTGAAAGAGAGAAAAAAAGCACTTTTTTGAACCGTAAATCAGGTGAAATTGTAAGTAAAAATCAAAATATCAACTACTTGGTGGTTCCGACCATAGGTGTGACGACATAGTTTAATAAACTTTTTCGATTTTCTGTTTCAGATTACCAAGAGAGCCAAAATCATCTGCGCCAGCGGATAACTTTTTTCTTTTGTACACATACATATTATTTTGTAAATAAATGACGAAATATTTTTTACCAAAAAGAAATTTTTTATTTACTTTCCTTAATCATACCTTTAAGAGGAAATTACAATTATTCGATTTTGTGCAATAGTTCCTGAGAAAAAAATTAGTGAAAATATGCTTTTTTTGTTCGTTCACAATGAAATGCCCCCTTAAAAGAAATGAGAGAAACGAATGTCCATTCAACTATTCGTCAAGGTACGTCGAGGGTACGCCAATGGCGCACGTTCTTTCTGTTTGATCGGCATGGTTGCCGCGGAGAGCTCGTGAACAGATCGCGTCGCGACGCAGGTAGAGTCGGTGGTTGGTTCGCGAGCAGCGTTGTGCGGGATCGAGATACACCGAGGCGCGATTAGATTTCGTTGGACGATGTGCGAGATCGGTGCACGTACACGTTTTCTCGACGGCGTATCTTAAAAAACGTGATCGGTCGCGAAGCTGTCAGACTGTGTCAGTTTTCTCGGAGCCAGTGAAAATCGAAATATCGATTGACAGGAGCAGAAGGGAACGGAGAGATCGTGATGAGCTTGAAAGCGACTCCGAAGCCGAGCACGGTGGCGATCGGGGCCGAGAAATTGAACGCGATTCACAAAATTCACGGCAGTGGCGGCTCGCCAGTCGCATTCGTAATAGGTGTTTCGCCACAGAGTGTCGTCGCTCTAAAAACCTGTGCCGGTTAATTATCCAACTCGAGAGAAAGTCGGTGGCTACTTCGCGTCTTCCAACCGGTCAACGGATACGTTGTTTGGATCCCAACTTGCCAAGTAAAACTGTCCACCGCGAGTGTTTTCAAATTGTGGTCAGTCTGATTAAGTGGTTTGCAAATCATTATTTCTAAGATAAATTTCGGGTAAGGACGATAGCAGAGGAAGTTTATATTATATTATATTATATTTCGAAAAGTTTAACACGTCGCTCGGCCAGCGAGCTTCCAGCATCATCGCGGTGTGACGGACGAACAGTATACGCGTTTGTAATTAATCTTCTCGTGTTTATACCAGTGTTTCTCAATATTTTTACTCTCGTGGTATACAATAGAAGAAGAGATTTCTAGATTAAATAAATAGAACGCAAAATAAGATTGACCATCTTGTTTGTTCATATTTATATTGCACATATGTTATGCACACAATTTTCACAGCCGATATAAAATATAAGTGAGATATTTATTATCCTTTTGGATAACTTTGGATATTCATCTCTAATCGAAATCCAAAAAGCACCCAAATGAAATTCTTAATGTTTGATCGAGTAAAAGGGGAATGAGTTTTCTTTTCTAAAAACAGGATTAGTTTCTCTTTTTTAAATTTCGTAGCGCACTTGGAAAATTTTATTGCATTGTAATATAATTGAATATACTTATATTATTTTATCCGCATTTAATTTTTAGTCCGTTTCCTGCTTTATATATCGCGATAGATCTTTATTTTTCATTTAATAAATTCGAGCAATACATGTAAAAAAGACTGGAACACATTGTTCTAGTCTTATAATGTGTATCAAGTATTTTTAATTTCGAAATTAAATTTAATTATTTTGTATACGTTATGTTAACACGTGCGAATGTCATTGAATTCTTGCATTACGAGTAAGATTCTTGTAAATTACTTGTAAAATTCTACGTAACCGAACGAAGATTGGGGGGCCCCCGAGTAAACATTGCCGTCACCTAGATCTGGATGACGCGGCGATCAACGTGTTAATCGATTAAAACTTCCCATTATCTCGACGTTGAAAAATTGTGTTAATATTGACAGTGGCTTTTATACACATAGTGTTTAACATCTTGTCACAGTGAGATTTCTCGAGATCAGATTTTAGAGATTAGATTCTCATCTTTCAATTCGTTCTTGAATTTGATTTTATCCATATTCGTAATTGAAAATCTTGTTCATGAATTTAAATCACCTTTAGTAGACAGGAATAATACATATCATAAACACAAAGATAAAGATAAAAATAATATCCATATTCGTAATTGAAAATCTTGTTCATGAATTTAAATCACCTTTAGTAGACAGGAATAATACATATCATAAACACAAAGATAAAGATAAAAATAATAATTACATTTGAACTTAGATTTGCAATTAAGATGATAAAGAGAAAAAAAGAATTATTATATTTATTTATTTATAATTATTATAGAAGATTATTTTGTATTCTATAATTTATTATTCTATAATTATTATATTATTATTGTAGAAGATTATAATAGAATAATATAATAGTCCGATTATAATAGAAAACAAGTACCAAAACAAAAAAAATCGTGTCAGAAGTTTTCAATATAAAGAACAAAGATCGTTTAAATTCTCTCGTCAAATTACAGAAAAGTCACAGAATATATATTTTTTAAAATGTGGAAGTATTACCTGATTTAGCTCAGAAAATTGCAACGACAATTACCCCTTGTTCTTTTCGTACAGATTTTTGAATTTATCACGAGTTTATGTACCATTGGTTCTTTACAGAGAGATCCATCGCGCACGCGCACTCACGCAAAGAAGTTCGCGGTTTAACCTGTAAAAATCATTCGTGAAACTTCGTTCCCATACGGCCTTAATTTTCAAGATTCGACGATTGTGTTCGGCTGCGATTATTCAACGATTGTTTCCCGATTGCGACGTTGGATATGAAGAACGAACAGGATCTGCGTGAATCGAACAACAGACTCGTTCGTTGCTGGATTAATGACAGATGTGTGTTTTCTGTTTGCATAAAAGTGATCGAAGTGTGACAGTTCGATAAATGTCATCGCTGGAACTCATTCTCGAAGTTGGATTAGCGTGGCGCGATTCGAGCGTATCGAATCACGTATCAGCGGATCGAATGCTGTTACATTGACATTTCGTGTATCGTAGACCAATGTAGCGCAATGTTCGCCAGATCGACCATCGTTATTGCGGCGCTGGGCCTGTGGATAGGAGTTGGTAAGTTGTTTTACTGACGCAATTCTGTATGTAATGGGGTTTTCCAAATAGTAGAGTTTTTAACACATTCGCGACCGACAGACATTTTACGTTTCTAATATCGAGACCTGACGAAAATAATAAAATTCTGAAGCTGGACATCGGATTTCTATTCAATTTCTATTGTTAGGGCGAAAATAAAGATTACTATAGATATGTTTTGAAATATCAATGTTGTAAATATGTAGCGTATAAAATAAAAAGATTTTCATAATTTTTTCATAAACAGAAATAAAATTTGAAGTAACGCGAATTCACGACAGCGTGAATGTGTTAATAACACGAAACAAAAGACATACAGTGAAGTATTGGAAACATCCCAAAACATGGCCAAAGTTAAAGAAGTTTTCAGATTTGCATGAAATTTTGTATACAGATTTTTTTTGAACGCTGATTACGAATTTGATATAAAAATTTAAAAAATCAAATTGGGTGGATCCAACATGACCGACTTGTCCATCAAAAAGTTTAACACAAAACCTACTACAACCGGTCAAATGACCGTTTTCAAATTTTTGTATACGGTTCTTCTATGCAATTACATGAATTATATACAATTGTTTCGTGCATTATTCAATTTAATACCACGTAAAATATTTTTACATTTAATTGAACAAAATGTCTTTAAAACTACTCATTAGTTCCATCGCAGTAGAAGTGTTAATTAGTGTTAATTTATCTGGGAACAGAGATAAACAGAATTTTATTGGAATAACATTGGGTTGTCTGGAAAGTCCATGTAGATTTTTGGTAGGTGGTACAGGCCTGAATATAATTAAAAGGTGGAAAGTTGTGGAACAAGATGGTACCTATATAATTCAATAAATATATATCAATATTTAAATGTGCCTTTGAGTTTTTCTTAAAAATTGACACGAACTTTTTGAACAACAGGAATCTTGTGTATCGATTTATTTGCAACGTTTATTCGATTGAGAAATCATTTCAGCAAGTCGTTATTCGTTCAATGTGAAACATAATCCGAATGTAATTTCACATCGAGTAAGTAACGGATCGCAAGTTGTTCGTCGTTTGTTCGTTATTCAAGATGTGTTATCTAGATGAGAATTTTCGACTTCCCTGAGTAGAAATTCTTTGCACGAATTGGAGTGAAATAATACTTTACCGAGAGCATGCGTTTTAGAAATCGTCTGATGTTTTTTCTTTAGAGCGTTGTTCTTCCTTATTTAGAAAGGCGCCAATCTCGACAATGATTTCGCGTTTAAAAAGATCAGACGAAAGGAAAGAAGTAGGATTGGTTGACTTCCATATGGAGAACCTTTCTTACTATGTATATTTCGCATTGAATAGAAGGAATAAATGAAAGAATATAATTTTAAGTTACGACCTCAGATTAGAAATTTCAAATTTGTTGACAAAAGCTGTGTAGTAGGAATAAGTATACCAATTGAAAAGTAATTAATAAGCAAGGGGAATTTAGGATACCCTTTGCATTCGAGAAGTGACTCTTAGTCACCACTAGTTTTCACGTAGCAAATCTACCAGCAATAATGTTTTTTTAGGTTTGATTTTTGTGGAACTTGAAGTGTCAAAAAAAAAAAATATATACATGTCGAATTGAGTAACCTCCTCCTCTTCGAAGTCGGTTAATAAAATGATTTTCGGTGAGGTGAAGGTGACCTGATTCTCAAATCTCAAATTAGTTTGGGATCACGAATCGGGTTACATCTTCGATGTGAATCTAAGCTTAGAATTCGTGGCGATAGAATACTAAGAAAGCATTTCGAGTTGCTGGTAGACTCCAGAAAAAAAGTTCTCGAGTACAAAGTGTATCGTATGATTAGGAGACTAAACCCTTTCTACATCGAAATTATAATGAAATAAAGAGATTACTATTATACTATTATATTATGCTTCAGACAATGGTAACAAAATATTATGAACCCTTTGATAAATATCTTTGTTTATTAAATTATGACCTTTTCTGTAGAGTATGAAGCAAGGAATAAGGATTGAGGATAACATAGTGAAACGAAGTTTTGTAAGTTATTTTCCGTGCAATTTGTGGTATTTAATCGTATTTGTGGTTTTTTAGCCAATGTCTTGAAGCCTATACTTTCTAATATATCCCGGAGAAAGCGTCGAGTAGACTTCTTCCGATGCATTCTTCAGACATGCGCGAAATCAGAATGTAGAAACATAAGTTGAATGGCTGTCGAAAATACACTGCAGGGCAATTTAAAAAATACAATAGAAAATTTATTAATATCGTGTAATTTTAATAAATCAGTAAACGTAACTAAATAAGTAACAAATTTATAGCAAAGGTTCATAGAATAAGTTAAAGTTGCTAAAAACGACGACCAGTTTACTGCTAAGTGTTTTAAAAAGTGTTGATCGCCAGAGAATAATAAAAAAGCATTATTATTATAAAAGAAACAGTGACTGTCTTCGTGAAATACTATTATATTATAAGAAAACTTATTCATGTCATAATAATAATACTAGATAAGTTCAAAGACATTTCGTTAATAAACCGTGAAAATTCAATTTTTTAAAATCAAGTTAAAGTTCCAACCTGCCTCCTGAAGTTTCACTCTCTAATGTTATTTTCTAAATAATTGGAGATACAAGTGTTCTTGACGTAATAAACAGATAATTAGTAAGAAAGTAAAAAGAATGAGTTTTACTTATAAACAATTATTGAGGTGTAAATTCTTCAATTTAGATTCAATTTATCGATGAATATGACTATTTTATGTATTAATCTATTATGGATATTGATTACATTCTATTTATCCGTAATATATTTATAAAGAACCTTTAACAAAATACAACAGAAATTCTATAATTTGAATCAAAATTTTTGTTAACCGTGCTAAATGAAGTCGTTAAAACAAGAAATTGAATTTTTGTATTTAAACTGTGTTAAATCAAGCCCGTATAAAAACAGAATTGGTTGCACTTGTAATATTTTACGATGAAAGAAACAAAACCTTCACTGGTCAATCGAATGAGAGTAAATCACTGTGAGATAATTTTATTTATTACTTATCGTTGGAATCAAACTTTTCCTATCACCTGCTGAGTTCGTTCCATATACATATATATCGCGTGTCGCACCTACACGACATTCCTCTAATATTGCATTAAGCTGCCGCCTTCGATACAACAGATTCCGCTTGCTCGAACGATTCCTTTCTCTTCGACGTTGATGTGGCAGAGAACATGGTCGCAAAAATTACTGTTAAGCGTGTCGAACGCGCTGCCATATGGTTTAATAAGATAGAAAGGAGATCGATAACGCGTGGAGCAAATTAATTTTAATGCGTTAACACGCCGTGGAATTCAAGCATGCGATTTACGAATACACAAATACCGATTTTCTAATCTCGACGACGAACGTCTAGTTGAATTCATTTGCGAACGAGTTTAGTGTTCCTGTGTGGTAAAGGTTCTAGGAGAAAGTTGTTTGAATCGCGATTTAATTTTAGTTACATAAAATCTATGATTTGGCAATCGTTTCTATCGCGACTATTATTTCTGGTCTCCGAGTATCAAAAATATTAAATAAAAGATTTTCTAAATAATGATTTAGTGTTTCTAATGGAACACAAATGGTATCGTATATATCCGACTTTCTAAATGAAAGTACACGTGGCTACAGTTAAACGGGCGAGACTACGCTGAGAGAAGAGAATATACTTCAACGTATATTACAGACAAGTATCTCTTACGGATGACCTTTTGAAGAAAGAGTTTTGTTCAAAATTAATATGCTCTAAAGATTACTTGAAATAAATTCTTTTTGTTGCACGTTATTCTGGGGATTATTTCTTTCTTTAAAATTTCAAATAAAAAACAACTCGACTGTCTAGTATGATAGGTATAAATCTGTGATTAGTTTCACAAATTTCGGAGCATTGTCCAAAATAAATCCCTGGACGTACTCCGAATAGAGTTATTTGATTAATTCGTCCTGGTGTTGCATCTATTTTTATTCCTAAACATGGAATAGTTCATGGATGAATTACAACTACTGACGTTGTTAGTATTCGGATAGGTGTTTTTATTGAAATAATTAATCAGTTATCAGTTTTTAACAGTAGTAGTAATAGTAGTAATCTATTTTATTATTATCTCGATATAAAAAGGGTTAGCGGTTCCTATTTTGTGCAATACACTTAATTCCATTAACCTTATTCTAGTTGATAATTTGTATTCAAAATTCTCCTCGCTTAACAATTACTTAACAATTGGTATTCCTATTCCTACTACACAGTCTTTGTCGATAAATCTTCATTTTCTAATCTGAGGTCATAACTTAAAATTATATTCTTTTATTTATTCCTTCCATCGTCTTTGGTCTTTTTTTCCCCTCTTTACTTGCCACTACTTAAATATACAGGGTGAGTTCGAAGAAACAGAACACCTAAATATCTCCGTTACATTTCGTTGTACAAACAAATTTCTTAGGTCAAAGTTACACTATTTGAAGGGCCACATGTAACGGTGTAAGGGAAAAAATGTTCAAGGTCTTTTTTTTATAAAATTTCAAGGTCAATGATGTTTTTCTAAATGGAATGATATATTTTCGTTAACGTTATGTTGTAGCTGACAAAATATGACGGTAGACTTGTATCTGCCTCTCGCCTTGAAAAATGTCACCCTCGAGGACTCGAAGGTGGTGGAAAAAATAGTCGAGTGGAAATGGAAATTTGTTCGCGATTGGTTTAAATATTCAATTACAGGATTGGAGGAGTCGGCTGAGAAGGAAAACGGTAACTCTATTGTTTGTAAAAGGCTAGCGGAAAACGGTAAAAGTGACCGTGCGACATCTAGTCGTCAAATTTTGTAAAATCTAAACGCTTACATTTTGGACCAGAATTACCCTTAACCCTTTGCACTCGAGAGGTGACTCTCAGTCACTATTAGGTTTCACGCAGTAAATCTACAATACCTAATGTTTCTTTAAGTTTAATTTCTTTGGAGCTCGAAGT